TACTATTTGCATTCTGCTTTATGTCAATTAATTGATAAAAATTACATCTGATACTTTTTTTTTTAAATTTCTCCCTCAGTAGAACTAAATGAAAAAAAAAAAAAAAAATCAGGATTATGGGTGAAGTTAACTTCATATCCAATTGACCTTGCTATTCAAATATTGTTAATTCAACAGTAAAACTTTTAAATTATCACTATAAAGACAGTCACACAGAAATCTTGTAGACCACATCACATATTCACTGCACTGGTTTAAGAAAAAAAGGAAAAACAAGCAGGAATCTTAACAGTGACAGAACAGAACTTTCTGAACATTTAATGGTTTGGTTTTTTTAATTATTATTTTTAGGACAGTTTTATCATCCTTGAGATGCTCCAATTACTAAACCTTGCTCAGATTACACACAGTAAGTGTGTGTACTTTTCACAGGCTGGTTTATTAACCACAAGAAAGCCACCACTTTCTGACTAAATAAATCTCACTAGGGTATCTGCACGACCCTCCAGGAATGACCTACAAGTGCCTTGCACAGTTCATTCGAAAATCCTTAACTGCCATCTAGTGGCTGAGTAGTCTGACTTTATGGTGTTTTCCAGGCTCTCTAATTAAATCCTTCTTCCCTCATTTCAATTATTTCTACTTGCATCACCATCCTTCCTTCAGGGACTAAGAAAACCCAACGTTATCAGAAGACATTGGTTTAATCACAAGTTCAGCTATTAGTCATATAAGAAGAAAACCAGACTGGAACAGACTGTCTGTCTAAACTATATAGAGGTCAACTCAGACAACCTCACTTCTAATTAATTAAACCTTTTGAAATATATCTGCTATAGTTGTAGAACATGAAAAATCTATTAGTGCTCATTAGGCTTTCTAAAAACTGCAGTATATTTAAACTGAAAGGTAAGTTCTAATATTAAGAATCAGATTTCCATCAATAAGAGTGGAAACTTCTGCATAAAAGTTGTATTTCATGAACATGAATATAAAAGACATAGTATGCCTGATTTGCACTTATGTCCTGGAGAGATTTTCAATAAAGGTTAGACTCCCTTTTACCACCTGAGCAAAATGCTCTGCACTTCAGCTGTTCCTGTGAACCCCAACAGTGAAGTCATCTGCCAACTTTGTCATCTCTAGCTTCACACAAAATGTGTTTCCTTTTTGTGCATTTTTGATAAAACAATTTATTTTCCAGGCTAACATATGCTACAATCCTACATATGCTTCCTGGTATTCACCTGCTTTAAGCTAAGATACCCCAGTTTTAACATTACACATTGGACTTGCAGTTAGAATATAAGTTCCTGAGTTCTTGTGCACCACATATTGCAAGCCTGACCTCCACCCCAAAGATAAGAATGGAACAGGTTTATACCTCCAAATTTTTTTTAGCTTCTTGTTTTCTGAGCTTGGGGTAAGCTGCCATGATAATGCAGGAATTTTACATTGATACATTTCTCCTTAAAACAATATATTCAAATATATTTGGCAGGATAGAGATCATCAGTTAGCTATAGTATTTACTTTGAAAGATGTGATAGGTACAGATTTCACTATCATTTGATTCTCTCTTCTGGAAAACTTAAAAAAAAAAAAAAAAATTTGCTTCTTTCCTACTCCTTTCCGTGCTCAATGAGACAACTGAATATAGTAGAACCCTGTAGATATGACACTTTTTTTTCCATTTTGTTTTGGTTCTTTTACCCCAAAGTATATCTTTTTTCCTTTGCTGAAATCTAAGACTTCAGCAATCATAGTTTTGAAGGAACATGATGATTTTTAGAAGAATAGTTCATTGCCTCCCTGAGGCTTCTGTTCCCCCTTACAAAAAGTAACCTGTCAGATAGTGATGGGATGGAAGAAGACTGATGCACCTTCCCAGAGTCACTGGGTCCTTCTGAATGAATATCTCAGGAATGAACACATGAAATCAAGCAATGTAAAAAAAGGCACATCCATGAAATGGAGCTCATAAAGGAAGAGTTCCCAAGTTTCTTCAAATTTCTGTTCAACACAATTATTAACCAGTCTCATCTATAGTTTGCCCCTACCCTATTGAAAGCCATGTAATACCAGAAAAACAGGTTTTAAAAAGTATCCCTTCTTTATTTTATTCTTTTTGTATCTATAGTAGAATAACTTTGCCATTCCAGACAAATCTTAGATTTACTTTCCTTACCTAACCTTCATCTGTAAAGAATCATCTTTCTGAAATTAAATTTAAGAGATTTTTGAGCAGCATGCATGTTTCTGAGACAAAATCTAGCTGGAACATTTTCACAGAATCACAGAATGTTAGGGGTTGGAAAGGACCTCCAGAGATCACCAAGTCCAACCCCTCTGCCAGAGCAGGACCATCTAGTCTAGGGAGCAGGACTATCTAGTCTAGGGGAATTTTGTAACAGTGAAAAGTAAATCCCAACCCCACCTATGTTTTATAGTTTCTAAATAGACTGATTATGCATTTATCTTAAAAGCTTCCACAGCCTTTGTGTTACGAAGTGTCCAAATGTGAACATTTCAAATGTCACTAAGTTATTACCCTAAGGAGTTATAATAATTTGTAGTTAAAGACAGAGTGGAAAAAAAAAAAAAAAGGTCCCTGGTGAAAGGCTGAGAGGTGAGTTACTAGCAAGGTATGGTAGTTAGGAATAAGAAGCACTCCAAAAGTCAGACTTCTATTGTTTTCAAAGTGGAAAATACATTCAATGTGGCAAAACATGTCCTGTAATTTAAGGTTTTTAAAGCTAGCATTGTTTCCCTATGATTTTTTTGAAAGTGCACTAACAGATTGTGCAGTAGAAATCTGTCTTCAATGCCTAAGAACTGCCAAAATTTTGTCTGATTATTACTTCCAATTGAAGCACATGGCATTCCAAGAAGTCACATCATTTTGGTTGAGAGTTTATTTATTGTTTTAAAGGGGGTGAACCAAACAAAAGTGAACACTTGAGCCAGAAACATTATAGGTATAAGAATTTTTTTATGGCAAGATGTTCTGCTGTCAATATAGTTTAAATGCTCACTGTAACCTCTCTCATAGCCAAACTGATAGAAATTGGAACAGTCTGGCAAAACCTCATCTCCTGATTACAGAGACCAGGCATCATCAATGGTATGAAGAAGAATTCATTACATCTGGTTGATGACCTTTAAATAAATGCAATGAGGGCTTTAAAATTTGTGTGATACTCAGAACAGACACGCACCACAAACAATCAAACAAAGAAGAGATTTAAAATATTTTTATAGTAAGATGTATAAAAGAACAAGGAATTTAGGTGACTGCCGAACAGCCTTAGTTTTTTTGCTTCTGTGATGTCCCACTACTAGCCAAAGCCTAGTTTTCTTCTTCCTTTACTAAAGGAGTTAGGTCTAACAAAGCTTTCTCTGTTCATACTGGGAAGACTAAGCAGACAGTCTTGCTTCTCTTCAACATTTCAAAACTAGGACTTGAAATGGCTGCCAATTTTTCTTATTTTAACTCTGCTAACCAGTTCCTCCACTAAAAGCAAGCACAGCCCCATGCTCTAATTTTTTTAACCATACATTTTTTTTAAAATAGTTATTTTGGACTCAAAAGAGCAGTCTTAAAAGCTTTAGGAAATTATGCTACAAAATATGAAGCTTGTGTCTAGCACTGTAAAGGAGAGGATAGATAAAAAAGTCCCTTCCAGTGACACGAAAGTATAAAATCCAGGCTCTGTGTGTTATTTGTGCTTTTAATTTAGCATTCCTCTGAAACTTTTTGATAACTGTTACGTTTGTGTTTGTTTCTATGTCAGCATCAACCATCTCCAATTATTTTAATATCATGGGGAAAATGTATTTTCCCAGGAAAAGGAGAGCGAAGTAGCCTGTAAGTAGAATTAGTTGATCAGTTTCAAATTTTACATTAGGACTCTCTTCATCATGTATTGAAAGAAAAAACAAAAATCACCTACTTGTCTAACTTCAGCCAATGCTTGCTTTCTTAAAAAAAAAAAAAAAAAACAACAAAAAAAAACAAACCAAAAGCTATGGACAAAGAATAAAGTGGGTAGAACTCCAACAGAAACATTTCATAGTATTTAATCACTTTCAAAAAGGACAAATAACACCAAGAATTACCTGAATGAAGTACTTATCTACGAACAGGATGAAAAATGTTAGTATGACCATTCTGTTTTCTAGACATTTTTAAAGATTGATGTAGCTAGATATTGATATATTGATAGATATCAAGAGCTTTTGGCCACTCCTTTTTCCAAACCAAGATTTAAGGAAACCAGAACTTTGCCTTCCTTTTAATGATTTCCAGAGCAATTGAACAGTCTTATTGACTAGTAAGGTAAGTCTGGTACCTGTGATCAGAGAGCTTGCACAGAAAATAAGCTAGCCTTTTGAGAAAAAAAAATTTAAGTTCCTCAAGTGCAATCTGCAGCACATTTAATGAAGAATAGAACATCAATGGTGACATGTTAAAAAAAGGAAAAAAAAAAGACTGTATTTAAGTTGGATAAATTCAAGTGAGATTAAGTCTCCACTGTTTCAATATTACATTATTTCCTTTTGAAGTCCAGCATGGCATGGTGAACTTCTGAATCTTTTCCACCATTATAAGCTTCAGCAAAGAAACAGAAAAAAATCTCTGCCACTGTTATTTACATGAACTTTTGTAGATTAGCTGATACAACCAGATCTTCTGTTACTACTCCTTACTAATGCCATCAGACCTTCAGAACCAAGGATTAATTTAGTTCTGAGTGAAGTGAGCAATATTTTACAGGAATCACTTTAGGCAGGCAGGAAACTTCATTCTCTGTATCTAGATACACTACAGAGTTTGTGAGTATTTTGAAATCAAAATTCAGAATCAAAACCACATTTCTGAATGTTTACATTCAGAGATTCAGTACACCAAACTACTGCAAAAATGTCTGAAATACTGCTTTTCCAGTCTTTATAAAAAAAAAAAAAATTAAACACTTCCATTTGAATCTTACCTGTACCTGACGAACATCATCTATGCATTGTTTCTCTGCTTCTAGGACAGTAGATTTCAACTCTGAATTTGAAAAGAAAATACATGTTTTAAAAGTCTATATAAAGACAATTAATTGATCTTTCAAAATACACATTAAAAATTTCCTGAAAATAGGACAGAATAAAAAAAAAAAAATACACACAGTGTTAACTGTCTCACTTGCCAAATTATCCATCTAAAATTAACCAAACAGGTTACATACATAAATAAAGCCAGCCTGACAGCTATTTGCAGTGCCTCGGACTCAACATTAAATGCTATCTTCTTCAATGTGAAAGATGTTAATTTGGATTGTCAAGTTTTCTGAATCAAAGAAGAATAGTTACTTATGGCTCCACTGGACATATTCCACAGAAGGTCAAGGGAAGGTTGTAATACTTGTTCTTCCCATTCAATCCCATTAAGAAGTATTTCTGTTCTTTAAAGCCTGTAGATTGTGCCTGTTCACTAAAGACCAAAAGAACCTGTGAGCAGAATGATGACTGTTGGCAGCTATGTTCCCTTTTTAATATTCTCCACTGGCCCTCCTCTGCCCTGCTGTCAAAATTGGAAATCTCACTATGAGATAGAGATACAAACCTAAACTCACATTTTAAAAGTGTGCTTGAACGCAACCGGCTTTATTATTGCAAATACATTTTGAGAAATCTCAATTTCATCCTAGCTTTATTATTCACTGTCTACAACAGTCTTACAACGGGATGGTTTGCAACAGTACACTTATTGTGTAAGTGTACAGTCAGGGCTTGCCAGAACTGAGGACATTCAGACTGAGGATACAAAACTAATTCTCCACCTTTGTACTGAATTCCACACTCTGTCTTTTGGGCAAAGAATCAGCATTAATTTGTTGGAATTTTGAACATGTGAGTCATTTACACTGAAAAATGAAATAGTAGTACTTCATTCTAGTTATATTTTCTTCAATTATTTTCTAATTTGGAATAACTAAGGAGAATCCTAATGAATATCTAACCATTCTTTCACTTAATTACTGCCTTTAAATGGAGAAAATAATTATTTGTGGCAGAATTGCAGGTTTAAGTGGAACTACAGATCTCCAGCGATCACTGTGACAAGTGAAAATAAAATAGCAGTGGGACTATGAACTTTCATCTGCACATCTTACTTGGAAAATGAGCATCAAAATATAAGACACCCAGCCCAATTAGATTCCATTTCTTATTTTAAAACCCAGATAATAATTATTCTATCTATAAATGCTAGATTTTGAGATCTCTGTTTTTATGAAAAAAACATTTCAATTTAAAGCAAACCTAGGCATAAAAGAAGTGACATTAAAACCTTGATTGTGTAAAATTTATTTTGGTGGGACACATGTATTGTACATTCCCACATTGTTTCTACAGCATTTTACTGGCTTTTGGATAAAAGAAATAACAGATTTTTGTGCTGGAAATGACGAAAACATGGAACAACCTATGATACGTTCAGGACCCTCAAGTATTTCCGTAAGCCACTGCAGAGAATAGACTGTATTTGGTCTGGCTGAGCTGATTTTCCCTTTGCAGCCCTCATGGTGCAGAGCTTTTGTGTTGGGTGTTAGAAGGGTGTTGATAACACCCATGGTGTGACTACCACTGAGCAGGGCTTGCACAGCACCAAGGCTCTTTCTATAGGGAGGGAAGGAGCTTGGGGAACATAACCAAAGCACCTGACCCAAACTGACCGAAGGGGATATTCCATACATATGTTGTCAGCTCAACTATAAAGCTAGTACAAAGGAGGAGGAGGGGGTGGCTACTCCTTGGTCCTCCAGAGAAACCACTGTGCATTTTGGAGCCCTGCTTCCCAGGAAGGGGCCAGACATCTCCTGGGGATGGGAAGCAGAGAATAAATCTTTGGGGATTTTTGATTTGCTTCCACAAGCGGCATTGCTGGGCTTTGCTTTCTAAATAAACTGCCTTTGTTTTTACTCACAAGAGTTTTGTCTCTATCTTATTTTCCTTTCCCCTTTTTCTCTGTGGAGGAAGGAGAGGAAAAGGGGAGGGTGATAGAGTGGCTTGGTGGGCACCATTTGTTCAGCCAGGTTTAACCCACCACAAAGAGTTGTTTTTAGTTTACCAAAGAGAGAGTCTCATATTTAAATGACAGGATTTTAATTAAAAGCTCTAGTTACTGTTCTGACCTTTCTATAGATTTATTCTGACAGTAAAGAACCCCTCTGTTTCATCTCCTGATAAGAGATAACTAAAAAAAAAACCCTTCCACCCCAAAAAATCCCTAGCAGCTACACAGTGCAAAGATCTCTAACCAGCTTAGTAGCTACTGCTAATGACGCCTTTTTATAGGCTTCTCCTATATATTTGTCAATATTTAACAGTTTTACAGAATCGTCTAGTTTATTTTTACCTCAGACAGGTTTTGTTCTAAAAAGGTTTCTATTATAAACTGAGTTCAGGGTCATATGAGCAATTAATTCCAAGATTAGTTTGGTGAAGCTCACCAAATAAAATTTATTTGCCACAAACTAACAAGGTTTTATCTTTGTAAGCAGAACTGAAAAGAAACAAAACAAACCCCACCACCAAAACAGAAGATAAAAAAAAGAGTTAAGGAAAGAAGTGCAATATGATGAATGAAACCCTCTCTTTAACCCAAACTGACCGTTATTTTTTTTCCACTCATTTTTCATAAAACAAAGCAAATACATATCTGGACTAGCCTAGTTTTGTTAAAGAGACTAATCTTAGGATCAGATTACCTAGGATCTTGCAGAATTTCCTCTTGCCATCCTTAAAACTTGAAGGGCTAGTACCGTCCTCATGCTAATGTGTCTAATAAAAATAAAGTCACTACATCTAAAAATATCCTGCTAACTTCCTCTCTGAATCAATACTTTTGACTAAAATGGACTTTTTTTTTTTTTTATAAACTGTTGGATACAACATTAACATTGGAGACATTTAATCCATACAGCTATAATTATATAAAATGCAAAATACAGCTACTCTGCACGCAGTAATATAAACCCTTTTAAAAAAATGCTTGCTGCCTCCACCTTTCAAATGCATATATGCATAAAATAATTCAATGACAAATGTTGGAGAAGGTGTTTCTCCTTCAGGCTTTAAATGAAACATCACTCACCTCCAGGTTCTTCCACATGGCAAGCATGAGAACAATCAAACAAGAAGTGAAACTATTTATTTACATGAATTGTATGCAGTACAATAATAATTTTTCCTATTCCTTCCATGCCCCATACTGCAAATTCACACAAAAAACCCCAAAGTTTCAATATTATCTTTAAGTGTCAGCAGCTCAGGTAAATTTTGAGAGCTATTTATGCTCCATTACATTCGTTGTCCATATGACAAATAGTCACCACACAAAATTTTCCAGTTTACTTTAGCCTCTGTGAGGCTAAAACCTCAAATTAAAATAATAAAATATTCGCCCGTTTGATTTTACAGTGCACAGTATGTTCATAAATACTCTGATCACACATCCATTAACTAAGTCACCAAATTGAGAAACACAATATGTCCTCTTAGAGTATATAGCAATAAATTATGCTATGACATATGACAGCACTTTAATTGAATCCAGTATAAGAAGTAGATCATTAGTCAAAAACTGGACTAGCCCAACAGTCCCGTACTGCAGCGTTCTGCACTCTCAATTGCATCAGTGAAATGGATGCAGAAAAGTTTCCTTGACCTGTAATAGAGTTGTTTTGGTAAAAGCCACAGCATGAACAGAACAATGTAGCAGTATCACATTTTTGCTGGCATCACTTATTTTGCTTGTGAACACTTACATAAGTGATACCAGTAAAAGTGAAGAGTGGCCATGATAAATGGTGTCCCTACAAGGAATAGTTTGCACATGTTCCAGGGGAAGTGGTAGAGAAGTCCCAAAGAGAAGCAAATCTGTAATTAACTCCACCCAAAGCCTACAAGCAATACAAAGTTCTGCTGAAATAATGACTCTTCCTTAAATCTGAGAAATGAAAAATAGAAGTGGTAGGAAATGGAAAATTTGAGAATACTCCGTGACTCTCCATGGAGGTCATGGGGATGAATGAAGCCTAAAAGCATTGAGAGCCACTGAATGCAAAGCTAAGCCTCCAAGAACCTGTGGTATTCACTCATCAACACTACTAATGGAAAAGAGGTTTGAAATTCTCTTCTAAATTCCTTTGTCAGCTACTAGAGGGTTTATTTTAGTTTGGTTTAATTCCCAGCTCAAACAAAGCTTTTAATGAGTATACAGAAGGTTTCAGAAATTTAGCTGGTAACCTCACAAGTTTTAAAGTAAATTGACTTTGTAAACAAGACCTTGATTCATTATTCAGATACACTTCTCCTACCTCTCTGTCAGCAGGGGACTGCTGAATCCACAAAGGAATACCTTACACCACTCTAATAACTTTCAGTATACCACCAGTGGGCTTCTGAAGTTTTCCATATTTTTAAGAAGAGAAAAGTACCCAAATTTCATGTCTCTGAAGGAATGTAAACTGGAAAAGAACAAAGGTGACACCTGGTATAATCCATTAGCCAGTAGATACCAGGTGTACATCTTGGTTGTTAACAAAAAGCATGCAGTTGTGCTGAATACTTTTTATTAGATTCATACTATCTAACATCATTTCTGATGCTAATCCAAGATCTTCAAAATCAAGTATTTGTTAGAAGTTAAGATATTAACTTTGTAACTTGGATTCTAAAAGGCAGAAGATTCCCTCCCCCACCTCATACACATAATGTGTCTGTATCCAAAAAAATATACCTCCTTCTGTAATTTTAAGCCTTTGTTCTTCATCTGGAGGTTTGGGTGGGGGCCATGCAGATGGAATTCTCCTTGGAAAGCTTCCTTCGATGTAATCTGATGAATGTGTGGGTTGGCTAACTGCAGCCCAAGTATAAAGCTGGTCTTGCTGTGGTTATTGAAAAAAAAGTTGATAAGTTCATATAGAAAGACAAACTCAAAATATCAAATCCAATACAAATAGATCAATATCCACCCCAATATAAAGGAAGACTTCTTTTTACGCTCTTCGTCCCCTGACAAAGTTTCAACATAAATCTATATTAAAAAAATTTCAATGTTTCAGCTTTGGAATTACTTCTATTAACAACAGAAAATCTAATATTTTCATTGTCTGCAGCACAAATAGATGCTAGAATATAGTTCAGCACTCTTTTTGAGCAGGAGGAACTCTTTGTCACTTCTTTCCTTATAGATAACAAGTTCTGTCCATCACAACTGTACCTCTTTGGCTAGCTTATGGGTTAGAAAAGAATATTTCAGCTCCCATTCTGTGTAATCTTTTTACACCAAATGCACAAGGATAAGAAGCAGAATTATTTCAGTAGAAATGAAGTTGTAATATTTATTCTTTGTAACTCTACTTTTGTAATTTCCATTTCCATATTCATACAAAGGTAGCTAAAAAGGTGGGTTTGCTTTTAGCTTAATTAAAAAAACAACCAGAAAGAAAAAAATAACCCACCCACAGCTAAATTATTCTCAATCCTCTGGGCTCAAATGAGATTATATCCTTATTACTCAATATTTTTGAGCTTGATTCCCTTATTAAAACTAGGAGCCATCCAGACTGCATGATAAGAACTAGGGCAAACAGTAGGCTTTAAGACAACAGTAAAGTTTTAGATGATGAAAATTCAAGTTGTTTTTCTTGTGACTCCCAGTATACATCAACATGTATACCTTGTGATTAAATATTTATAATACTGTAAACTCTATAGAGATCAATCACAGCAGCTGCATGAGTATCCTAGTAAAGTGATCTGGAAATATGCATATATTGTAGTACAAAACTGGGGGGTGGGGGAGGAAGGAAATCCAAGTTACAGGATTCAAATACAACCACATCATGCAGTAATATTTTTTTTATAAAGATCACACTCATTACATTTTATTCATGCTATTGCCTGAGTAAAACATTGGTAATATATATATTAGTCCTGCTGCATATTTGACCTTAAAACTTTTTTTCTTTAAATTCTACAGAAATACTAAACATTGAAGAGACATGCAAAAGAAGAAAATAATGAAACACTTTTTTGGGGGATAATTGCTATTCCACATGACTAAGCTTCTTCTTGCCTAAAATTGTGGTAAGGGTGCTAATATTCTATTAACAACAACTTACTTAGAACAGAAAAATACTGAGTATAAAGTGGAAAGTTTTGGTTTACAGAACATGCCTCAAACAGTCAGGGTCAAAGGAAGCTCATTAAATCTTTCCAACATAAAAAAACATGGCAAAAATCCAGCCACATGCCCAGACCTTAGATAAAGGTAAAAATAAATGGATAAAACCTTAATACAAAAATCAGATCAAGTTTGTTACATAGCCCTGAACTCTATGTTCCTTGAAAAGCCTATCATTGTCCCATTAGTATGCTGCGGCATTTGAACATCCAAACAGGCTTGATTAATGCAGTAACTTCATACTTTCCCTTTCTCTAATTCCAGCTTTTTAGAAGATATGTATTTTTGGGTTTTTGCCTCACTTCCAGTGCTGTGGGATTAAAAGGGATAGGGAAA